ACCATAAACTAACTTTTGGTTCACTCTGAAACAATGTTTATGAGTTTTTGTAATAAGATTTTTCAGCAGAGGTGCTCAAAAATAATGTAAAATGATCATACAAATGTGTATTCTTCACAGAACATTAATACAATTTAAATAGAATTCGATTGGAATGAAACATGATCCTACAGTTGACAAATTCGTAGAATAAACATGAGAACAAAATATTACTTTACAGATGTTCATAATTAAGATAATGAAGGATATAATTGTGTAATAGATCAAAAGTCAGTTATCCGAGATATACTGAATTACGGATAACAACAGGCAACTATTGTAAATCGTTTAAACGTCCTTCCTGTATATTGCACAGAAGAAACGTTTGTACAATTTCTGCATATTTTACAGGAAATTCAGGTTTTGTATTAAAACTGTGTATTGTAGAGGTTCGTTTTACAAATTACTATATGCATATGCATAAGACAATTTCTAAAAGGAAGACGTAAATACACAATTTGAATATACAATACACAATTTGAAATCTGAAAGTAAGAATTAATACCGCCTTACCGAATAATAAATTGTGCACTTACCCTTAGAAAATTGAGTATTTACGCATGTAAATTATATCCGATATAATTGTAATAACAAATTATTCAATGCCGCAATTGTCTTGTTTGCTATCAACGTCTGTTCTTCACGCACAGTTTGTCCTGACGAAGAGTGTGTGAAGCTCATTTTCCGCTCACTTAATATTATACTAATGGAATAAGCTTCAAATAAAATTCGTAGAATAGATTTAATGATTTTTGATATTTATATATCCGAAAATTAAATTTACACTTCGAATATTATCTTTCTAACATAACAAAGTTAAGAAGAATACCAGGAACAGTTGTTAATTTAAATAATACACGAGTTAAATAGCGATAAAACACAAAACGAACGGGTAAATTCAATTTAAAAAGTTTCGCAAGTAAATTTGTAATTAAGGAAAGAAAATTAACATTTAAAGATGACATCTTGCTGTTAAATGCTTGGATCGCTTTTTGCAAAATGCAATTACAGAGTTCAGTTTTTATCATAAAAATCAATAATAAATACTTTAAAAGACGTGTTTATTGCTCTAAACGCATTATTCGTTTTTTAACGAGGCGAGAATAAAGAAATTTACTTTTCAATCAATTGTAATTGTTAAAATCTGTTCTTCATCTTCTTCCTCGATTCTTTGTAAGGCGAATGGCTTCCAGCACAATCAATGCAGTTCCATTCTGTGGCGAGTGAGGAATTTTAGCATAATTAAAAACAAGAAATAGCACAAATATGGTGATTTTGGGCAGAGAAAATTAAGAAAATTCCCTTGGTACATCTTTAATTTATTCTTGTATAATGCAAGATTTAATGTTGAATCTAATTGAATTTAAATTAGAATTGATTATTTATTATCATGGTTTATTTTCTTCTCCAAAATAAGAGACTTTTTCGTTTTTCTTTTTTATAAAATACTTTCTGGATCAATTTTAAGCTGTTATTTTTGTTTGCTTGAAATTTCGAACTTTGCAATAGGATTGTGGGATTTTTTCATAAGTTTGGAATAATAAATATTTCATTCAATATTACTTTAACGCGTGAATGGCTGTATGCATTTGCTCTGGATCACTGGAAAAAATGAGATAAATTGGTTTTATCAATATTCAGCTTGAAGGAACAGACGTGTTGTAACAAAATTCGACACTTCTTTCGTAAACAATTAGAAAATATCAAACTTCAAACAGTAAAAGAATAAATTTGTGAAGGAAAAGTACAAGTGGATTTGAAATATTGAGTAGTCTATTGCCTGGAGCTTAAAAGTTTGCTGGCAATTAAAGAAAANGAAGCCAGAATAAAGAAATTTACTTTTCAATCAATTGTAATTGTTAAAATCTGTTCTTCATCTTCTTCCTCGATTCTTTGTAAAGCGAATGGCTTCCAGCACAATCAATGCAGTTCCATTCTGTGGCGAGTGAGGAATTTTAGCATAATTAAAAACAAGAAATAGCACAAGTATGGTGATTTTGGGCAGAGAAAATTAAGAAAATTTCCTTGGTACATCTTTAATTTATTCTTTTATAATGCAAAAAATTTAATGTTGAATCTAATTGAATTTAAATTAAAATTGATTATTTATTATCATGGTTTATTTTCTTCTCCAAAATAAGAGACTTTTTCGTTTTTCTTTTTTATAAAATTCTAGCAGACCCCGCCAGCGTTGTTGTGGCTCAAAATGTATCTATTATAAATGTATAACACTTCCCCCGTGGGGGGAGGAATTTTTCGAAAAATCCCTTAGTGTACGTCTTCTTGACGTACCCTATTAAAACGCAAAAAACCGCATTTGAAATAGTATAATAGAAGCCAAGTTCTTCACGGTAAGCCTTAATCCGGTCCATCTCTCCCGGGGGGNGTGTTGTAACAAAATTCGACACTTCTTTCGTAAACAATTAGAAAATATCAAACTTCAAACAGTAAAAGAATAAATTTGTGAAGGAAAAGTACAAGTGGATTTGAAATATTGAGTAGTCTATTGCCTGGAGCTTAAAAGTTTGCTGGCAATTAAAGAAAAACTAAAATATTTTTTGTGCGCGACTGAAATATTAATCAGTTTTTATAATTAAAATAATTTCGCTTTAACAAACAATCTTTAGATAGAAATTAAATTGATCTTATTTGTTCATATGAAAATATTTACTTAACACTAAAAGAAATGAATAAAAAAAGTATATTTATTTGCTTTTACACAAGTGNTTGCTTTTATTTTTTATTAAGCAGCTTCAGTGTCCGTGTGCGATTTAATAGAAATAATAGTAACAAAAATTTATTAATTGAAATTTTCTTCTTCAAAATGTCTAAGGCCCCAAAGTGGGTTAATCAGGCCCTGATTGGATATTAGTGGTGTATATGAACGCGAATGAATCGTACAAGAGAAAAAAAAAGGTCAACAGGTTTCGCAGGACTTCCTTGGATGAAAAACTTATTAGTTCACCCGGACGGCGAGCCGATTCCCGGACTGTCCGGACGATAGCATTATCGTAGGCGCGATGCAAGTATAGATTAGGATGCTTCAAATTTTTACAAGATATTATTATTATTTATTGTGAAATTTTGCCGCCCCCTAAAAAGTGCCCCCCGGGGCGGGCCGCCCCTGCCGTCCCCACTATAGTACGCCACTGAAAGTAGCATTCCCCGAGATACCGCCACACCCGTCCACGGCCGTTATTCCTCCACAGCCAGAAGTGGGATTCAGAGCCGGCCCTACCATAGGGCGAAAGGAGCAGCCGCTCCAGGCGCTTTGTCTTAGGGGGCGTTTCAGTGGTAAAGAAAATTAGAGGGTATAAATTTGGGGCAACCAAGGGCAGTGGCGTAGCGAGGGGATCCAAGGGGGTCCCCTCGCTACGCCACTGCCTAAGGGGATCCCGGTTGGATCCCCCGAGGGGATCCAACCGGGCGCCACTCGCAGAGGGGCGCTCAAATGTCTCCAAGACAAACTATATGTGTTTCTGGAGGGGGGCGCCAATAAAGTGTCGTGCCCCGAGTGCCAGTTATGTTCGCTACGCTACTGACCAAAGGGGCGCCATAATAGGATCTCGCTCCATCCTAAAACTTGCCTCGGGCCGGCACTGATGGGATTCATCCATAAATATTACCCGATGCCATTCAGTGGTCCAGTTGCGATAATGACAACACTACGCCAGGCGTGCAGCCCTGTGTCGAGCGGTTAATGGCATCCCGGTTGCTGGTTGCCGACTTCATGCAACCTGTTTGGGTAGACACAGATGCATCCGTTGACGGCGACACGAGGTTTCGGATGTCACGTGCCATGGCGAATGGGTCTCTACGGACCATTCGATGAATCTGCCAGTCTATGCTTTGTCATGCGCCGGTGTGAAATGCCATTCCTTCTTCGGCGTGTTCGCAGGCGTTTCTGCGTCCATCGTGTCACACATCGCTGGATGGTACTCACGTCGTGCTACACACGCGTAGCAACTGGTCCTATAATTTGCATGTTGCTAAGCGCTTCCTTCGTGGTGTTGCGATTTCATTTTTGAAGAGTATACCATCCTTCCTGTAATTACACAGACAAATGAGCAGCTTTTCTAGATTTCCACTCCGCTTCTCGTGCGATTGCTTGTCAAGGTGGCAGGAATCCTGTCCTTCAGTATGTTTCTTATAATGTAGTTTGATCTACGACATTATTACATGTTTCATCCCTATATAGAATATATTTTTTTTCACTTTTGATTTTTTCCGCCCTGTGGGCAGTAAGAGGATCTTTTCTATATACTCATCGACGGATATGTATATAAAAAACGCGAGGACGAATATTTACACCACACATTCCTGTATTTTTATATAGGCTACTCTCCATCGGATGGATATATAAAAAGGCCTCTTAGTGTAGGTTCGACTAGGTCCACAATAGGGTCAACCGGGTGGCAAAGGATGGGACGGAGCATAACATATCCAGACGGACAACCCCCGAAAAATTCTTAGGATTTTCGAACCATCTGAATTTGACCCCAAGTTCCCCAGAGCGGGAGGCTACCATTTTAAGCTCGACCATCCAACCGTCATTAATTTAAGATACAAATTTTCGTACAACACAAGAGGCAACTAATAGATCACGTGAAAGTGAAACTGTCTTTCTTGTTCTGCCCTACAAGCAATAAGAGGACCTTTTTAATAACTGTCGCGTGGCAGATCGAAAATCGCTGAAAATCCTTACTAATTCAATCCAGTCGAAATATATTCAAAATTTTATAGTTTTCTGCACGTCTAGAGATCATAAAGTATAATTCCATACTGTACCTCATTTGCAGAATTTGATCAATGCATAGTGTGTGAACTGATTGACCTTGTTCTCTTTTAAATATATAAATGTTTACAAAATGATCTAAAAGTAACTTCTACCCTCTTTTGTTTCCTTCCAATAAAGCTATCGGTTGTGTTTTTCAAATGCACACGCACCTTTTACTTCTAATTACGAACCAAACAACGTGCTCTGTTTCTTGTGTGACGTGAAGTGTTGTATGTTTCGCCTACTGGGGCGATATAAACATCGGGTATGTCCATTGTAACAAAAAATTTTTGCCTCCCTAATTTCATCTCTGATCCTTGTGATTTTCTTCCATCCTACCCCAGAACTGTAGGATGAACTCAACATCCGGTCTTCCATTGCATTCCTTTACAAACGATTAAACTTATTGCATCACGTGTCGCAATATCACGTAACATATAACTAGTCTGGTTGTGTAGTTTCTATCAGTGAGGAAAATGGATGCTACAGGTAATTATTGGCAAGTACACAACTAATTAACATAAAATTATGTTACTAAGTAGTAACAATTTGTTTTTTATAACCATATGTAAATTGTCAGTTTCTTTTCTTTGAACAATTAATCATTTCTGAATGTTTACTTTTTTAATCATAACATCTCTTGGTCAAATAATTACTGATATAATTAATTATTTTCCTTTCTTTGGACCTCTTGTGTCTAGTAGAATAAAAAAAAAACAAATTAATAAAAAAACAACTAGTCAGAATAATTACAAATATTTAATAGGAAGCTAAATTAACATTAAAATTGTAACCTTTCTAAGTTAATAATTTGGTTAATTATAAAATACTGAAATTAACACTTGATATTTAATAATATAAAAGTTACATGTAACTATTATATATATTTAATAACAGCATCTTGTAAAAATAACATTTATATTTAATATTGATCAAAGAGAGAAATTATAATCATAGTTAATTCACTATGATTATTAAAGAGAGAAATGTTTTAATTTAAAAGAATTTAACTTTATTGCATCTGATATAAATCAACATCTGCTTGTTATTGTTAACTAATTTATGATCCTAAATGAAATTGATAAATTCTATAAAAAGTTTCTTGTTTTTTAAAACAATGCAAATGTTTCCTTTCTCATTTAAATGAGTCTAAATTGTTCAAATTTTTCAAAATTTTACTTTTGTATTATGACAAATATTTGAAAATTTAAAATAACGAATTAAACTTTATTTAGTTAAATGTATATATAATATAAAGATTTATAAATGACAAGAATGAAATGTCTAATTTATTTCTTTTCTTTGTTTTTACATTAAATTGATTACTAGTATGAAAAAGGTACCATTGTTTGTTAGCTGACTTCCAGTTATAATATAATTATTGAAAAGATTATTTAAGAATTTTGATCTAGTTAAATGTATATTAGATATTTAACTTTTTAAAATAGATTTAATCTGTTTTAAATTTGTCAATATGTAATACTTTTGCATTTTGTTTTAATTCATTGTTTCATATAAATGTTCATTGAATCTGTTCAGACTTGACTCCAGCAAAGATACAACATCCTAAAACATTAAAGAGTTTTAGCATGTTTTTTACATAATGATCTAAAAGTAACTTCTACCTTCTTTTGTTTCCTTCCAATAAAGCTATCGGTTGTTTTTCAAATGCACACTCACCTTTTACTTTAATTACAAACCAAACAATGTGCTCTGTTTCTTGTGTGACATGAAGTATTGTGTTATGTCGCCTAATGGGGCGACATAAACATCAGGTATTAATGTCTTCATATTTTAGCATGTTTATATTCTAGTTTGTTTATTGAATAACAGCTTTTGAGTTAAATATATATATATATATATATATTTTAAATAGAATTTTTGTGATGTAGTCTTAAAAACATTTAGATTACAATTTTGAATAAATAATAAGGTTTAAAAAGAGTTAGAAACAGATAAAAATTTGAAAATAATCACAGGTTATAAGAAATTACTTTTAGCATAAATTTTAATTTACAATTTAATAAATTATCTCAATACAGTAGTAGCATAGTTAGAAATCCACATTTGTTTATGCCTTTTTAATAACACCCACTATACAGGAGCATATCCAAAGGAGGCATATGCTTATGGTACTACAGCATACTTTTGATATAAAGCAGTCAGTTTTGTTACTTTAAAATAAAAATAAGTATAAAAATGCATATCAAATTACTTGAATGGCAAAAAGTAATTACTTATAAAAAAGAAAAAAAACAGAAAAATTTTAAATGACATTTCACTGAAACACTTGCTGAAAAACGAACACAGACTAAAGATATGAATTTAAAATAACTAACAAAATAAAGTTAAATTTCGAATGAAAATAAAAAATGCAATAATTTTATATCTTCGTATAATTCCAAAAAGTTGATTTTTATCCTTCCAAGCTCACAGACCCCTGAAAATTTTCTAGATCTCTTGGGGATTTGTGGATCCCTTATTAAAAACCACTGAACTAGATGATGTAAGTTGATGATGACACTGACTATCTAGTGATTGGAATAATTTTAAGATAAATTACAATATCTCATCAACTTTTTTTTATCTAAATACTGTTTCTTTTATTTCTGTCAACTTTGTTTCACATACAAATCTGCTTTCTAGCTTATACACTATATAATAAATCAACCTCATCATAGTTAGCCAATTTCTTTTATTACTCAAATAACTCTAATGCCTTGTATTAAAAATTTCACAGCATAAAATAAAACTCAAATATAAGAGACAATAATGTTTATAATAATCATATTATATAATTTTTGACTTAAAGAATTAACATCAAATTCAGGCTCAAATATATATTACTAGCTTGTTACACCTGGCTTTGCCCAAGTTTATAACCTGTTGTTGTAATTATTACATGGCGTTATTAATTGTAAATTTTTGAAATGTTTGCGATAAAACCCATTTTAAGAATATTATCAGAATACCTATAAACTGTTAGGGAAATATGTTCTTGTAAATAGTGAGTTTAAGAAAAATTGTTAGAATAAGTTTGGTTTATTTGGTTATGGCACCGAGGCATATTTTGCAGATGCCTTCTGGGAGAACTTATATGGGAAACTGGCCCGTTACTAATGTAAAGAAAACCCAGAAAACTCCACGTGGCCAGTCCATTGGGGATGCGCAAACCCACAACCAAAGTACTGGTTGTTCAGCGGATTTATCCACTTAGCCACTGGTGGGCACTTATTAGAATTAAGAAAGTACCATTTGGAAATAAAAAAATCAGAGTTGTTAGAGGTGGAAAATTAAATACTTATAGTGTAATACTTCTGACTCCATGCAGGTGAGTGTTATGTGCTACCAGTTGTAATAATGATATTGCATGTCTACTTCATACTATATCATTGTTGCAGTAATTAAGTGAATATAATATTTGAATTTTTTTTAACTATATCCTTTTTTGTGTGAATTATATTTAGATTATTTTTAAAAATTTCTTTGCCAATAGATATATGTAAAGCCAGAAAATTGAATGTAGACAGAATTTAATTTGGTGGTATGGACAAGCTTATCTACATTAGAAGTATGTTAACATAACTGTCAAGTTTCATAGCAATTGATCAAAAGGCCTAGGGATGTATGGTAAACAAATAAACAATCATTTTCATTTATATATCAGTTAGAAGTTTCATTATCCAAGATAATGGTGAAGATGTGTTCCAAAAATAATTAAAAACCATGGATAATAAAACTCCCATTTTTAACATTTATTTGACAGCACAAACTCAAAAAATTTTTTGATGTTTTTGCCTTCATCCACTGCATAATTAATTATAGAAATTTTTTCTCTAAGAATAATACAGCACAATACATTTCTGCTTAATAGCCATCCTTTGTATATGAAATAACTGAAACTCAAGAGAATATATTTTTTCCTTTAAGAAAGTATCCATAATAGTTAATTTTTTTATTCTGTATTATTAAAGTGTCTAAGATTCATTTTTCAAGCATTTCCCAAACTTCTCAGTAAAGTGGAGCCCATAACAAGGAAAATTTTTTTCAGGTGCCCTCACAACTCATTGGCATCTTTTGTTATAAATTTGTATAATTGACAGAAGAAACAAGACACTGATATTTTATTTATTATTACTATTTCAAAACAGAACATATAACTTTATTAATAAACAATTATATATGTATTTTAATTTAATCATTCAATGAAATGTCAGTTGTATGAATGATATGTGATAAGAGCAAATGGCAACTACTGTATTCAGGTGTACTACCAACTGAAATAAATAACTGTCCACTTAAAAAATAGTTATAATGAATCAAATTCAGTATTTGTTTAACTTAAAAAATGTTTTAAAAAGATTCACTGAGCTCTTGAATTTCAGTTGTAAAGCCACTTTGGAAATTAAATTCATTATCTATAAATTTACATATACATGATATATGTGATATGATCCAAAAGTTTGGGGACTGCAGTAATCTATGACAACAAAAGCATGTATTTAAAGTTACTGCATATGAAATGGATTCTACCAAACCATCCCTACATGTTCAGGTTGGTTTCACCCATGTTACGTGATTAAACTGCAAGCACTGCTGTTTTCTTCCAGATATAGTTACCTTTGTTCTGCGACATAATAAAAATGGAGTTTCAACAGTGCTGTAACATTAAATTTTGTCAGCATTTAGGTAAAACACCTACAGAGACTTTAAAATTGCTAAGAAAGGTGTACGATGATTCTACCATGGCAAAATCGAAGGTTATGAATGGCATCGGCGTTTTAAAGAGGGCCAAGAATCCATTGCAGATGATGAATGCTCTGGCTGACCTTTGACTTCACAGAACAAGGAAAATATTGAGTTGGTCTCTCAATGTGTTAGCAAAGATTGTCGCCAAACCCTTGAAAAAATCACTGAGGCTACTCACTTATCAAAGACTAGTTGACAGCATATTTTAACAGATCTTAACATGCACTGAGTGTCTCAACACATTGTCCCTCGGCTTTTGACTTCTGAACAAAAGGAAGAATAAATGAGAATATCGGGTGATTTAATCAACAAAGCCGATAAGGATCCAGCTGTTTTGAACCACATCATAACAGGTGATGAAATGTGGTGTTATTTATTTGATATCCAATCAAAACATGCTTCTTCAACATGGAAATCACCCTCCTCACTGCAATCAAAGAAATTTTGGCAGGATCGGAGCAAAGGAAAAGTCATGATGGAGATATGTTTTGATTCTCAAGGAATTGTTCATTCAGAATTTATTCCCAAAGGCAGAACAATAAACAAGGAGCATAATCTAGACATTTTATGTTGTTTGAAGGAATCCATTCATCGTAAATGGCTTCATCTGGCAAAGTGGAGACTGGTACCTTCTACATGACAATGCACCTGCACATTGGTCCCAAATGGTCACACAGTTTCTCACCAAAACTCAAATTAATGTGCTTCCACACCCCGCCTATTCACTGGACTTAGCCCCGTGTGATTTTTGTTTCCATCAATGAAAAAGCATTTGCAGGGATGCCGTTTTGTGTCATCAGATGAGGTGAGAGCAGCATCGCAGGAGGCCTTACGGGAGGTTTCAAAAATGGCTACTAGCAGTGCTTCCAGAAGTTATACGAGCGCTGGAAAAAGTGTATCATTGTCCAAGGTGATTACTTTGAAGGTGGTTGTGCATCGACAATATAAACTTTTTAAGGTAAGGAATTTTATACCAAGTCCCCGAACTTTTGGATCATACTACATATATCAAAATTGGCTGATGGGAGTTTCTACTGTATATTGACCTAGCTCTATTCAAATTTGTTAAGAATAAACAACCCAAAGTGCTCAGTAGAAAATAATGACTTAACACCTGATCACTCTCAGCGAGTGATCAGGTGTTAAGAATTTGTTAAGAATTCAACTTGTCCCTGTGGATATTACTATTTCAATGCTTATGATTTATATGATCACTACAAAGTGGATTATATAATAAAGTTGAAAAAATGTCAATTTTCATAAATAATGAAAATTGATACATTCAAATAAAAAAAGTTGTAAAAATATGTAATTTTAATTATATTCATTATGTTTTGTTGTGGTGTATTGTTATTGTATTGTCTCAAATTTACCATCTCATATATGCATTTTTTCAATTTTAGATCACTCAATCCCAGTACAAGCTGATGTCCATATTACCAGGTATTTTGTGTTATTTTTTTTATTTACAAAGAAATTTAAAAGAAAAATAATTAATTTACTTATTATTTTCTAGAAAAGAGAGATATTATCCATCTAAGTCAACAACTAGAAATTCATCTAGAGAAAGCTTGATTTCTGAAAAAGATAAAACAGAAACTAAAATAGAAAATAATAATTATAAGACTCAAAAATCAAACCCTGAAGAATTTGAGAAAGTATGGGGAAAAAAGAAATAGTGTTATGAATTTTTATAAATGCATTTTGAATATGAATATGTAAAAATATATTTTAAAAATCTGAATATTTTTTTTTATCTGAATTTTATTTTGCATTTAATAATTGTACTTTAACATGTTTAGCAATTTTCAAACGTTTATGGCGCTTTCTTTTTCTTTTTGTCAAATTTTGATCTGAATCTTGAATTATTTTCTTCTTTTTCTTCTTACATGCTAACGGATTTGGTCCCTTCTTACGCTTGCGTTTACGTTTTGTCTGATCAGTTAATGCAAGATCTTGTTTTAATTTCTCCAAAACAGCCAAATGATGACCAGAAGGATTCAATTTACATTCTTTTGAAGTATCTGCAGCCTCTTCACTTATCTCTGATGGCTTCTCCAAATTAATTGCATTGAATTTAAGATATAAAAGTGGACAACCAGGAATAATTCTAACCTAAAAGAAAAATTAATAATTTGTAATAAAACTTTAAACAATTTTTAAAGTATATATATAAAAATAGATAAATATTTAAATTAACCTATTTTTTAAAAAAATATTTGAAATAATTTATAAAAATAAATTTTCTTTAGTTTAAGCTTAAAGACAGTAATATTTATTTTTAATTTTCTGTGGTAGTTAGGATAATAAAATTTGTCTTTTAAATAAAAGAATTAATAAATATCCTTCAGAATTTTAAAACAACGTAAGGATGAACAAAAAAAAAATAAAGGATTTCAATAAAATTATACCAGAACACTAAAATCATTTATTAAAACTAACTTTAATTATTAAAGTTAAATTCTTTGGGTATTTTTTAATAAATATGCTCTAAGAAAGAAGAAAACTGTATTTACAAGTACAAGCAGTTTTAAATTAAAAAATTATAATTAAGTTACCAATTATTTATACTAGTACATTATAAAGTGAGTTACCAATTATTTATACTAGTACATTATAAAGTGAGTCCCTGATATACCATATCAGGTTTATATCTATGATCCTAGTAGATATAGAAATTAATACAATATATTGAAAGTTTTAAACAGCTCTACAAACTGCATATTTTTGTGTCATTTTAATAATGATCAGAATAAATCCTTACGAACATTTTTATATTTGTATATTCATCTGTATATATGTTAAAAACAACATGTTCCATCTCTACCAAAACTTTATGAAGAAGCAGCTTGTAATTAAGTCACACCAAGTCACCTGTTGTATCTACAATTTGTTCCTTGAAAGGAACACCAGTTAACTTCCTGTATGGACTTGGCATGAATTCATGGAAAGAGTCAAAATAGGGAAAGTAACGTCTTTGTATAGGGATAGGAAATACAAACACTTCACTTTTCATTCAGACTTGGAGTTGAAGAGACTGCTATTCATTTGCTCCCATAGCAACTATTCTTTGATTTTTGAATAATATATACATAATACAGATATTACAGATTTAGTTTGTTTCACACAAAAGATGATAAAATTTTAATTTATTTTAATTTTTTTAGTAATTTCATTAATTTTTGTTTTATAAATTTGTCTGCATTTTTAAAATTTTTTAAAATTTTACTTTTAAGTGAGTTAACATTAATTGAACTGTTAGGCTACCTAGTAATACAGTAGACCTCCCTATAAAACGGGTTCATATAATATAGATTTATATATAATGGTGAAAAAATTGCAATTGTATTCATATAAACACGCTAAAAGAGACTCGTATTTAAACGAGCAGTGGACCTACTAAAAACCATTTATTATTTAACGGCCATAAAAATTAGATTTATATTAATGATATCGCCAAAGTTCAGCAAATTTTTCGCAAAAAAATAATTTATCAGAAACACGTGTCCGCCATTCGATGCTCTGCTCCACAACGAAAACAAGCTTAATCAATGGTGTCATTGAATGGTGCAGACTCGGTAAGTAATCCTACAAGTTTTCGTTTATAGCATAATTTATATGGATTATTCCCAAAAAATTATATGTGTTTTGGAAATGTTGAGTCAAATAAATTAGTCTAGAATCGATTAATTTTATGGAAGAAAACCTTTCAAACAGCTGTAGTCCGTAAACTGCATACGTACTTGGCTGTGATTGGCTCGTGTATTTAAGGACTCATACAACATGAATTTCATAAAACATAGAACGTATCTACTGTGTTATAGGAGGTCTACTGTATATAAATCTTGTATAAGAACAAACATATGCCCAATAGAGCCTACAAGTAATAGATCAGTATGACATTCCATTGTGGCAGTCGAGACTGTCTTTTCAACCTGATTTTTCCGTCTTTAAAGGATTCAATGAACCTGAAGGATGGCCAATCTGGAGCTGAACCAGTAGTACTCTTTCAGGTCTGCCTTCACAGGTCTGCTTTGACTAATTTCATTAATTAGTCAAAGCAGAACTCTGACCAAATTGCTTTGTCTTCATTCAAAATGATATGCTTACTTGATAAAAAGACTAGGAAGATAAGCTTTTGTATCTGATTAAATGCGGTCCAGGCAAAAAAACGGTGGTTATGTCTGTAGAATTAACCCAAGAAGTTTTATCAATTTTTGAGGAAATATTTTTTTGAAAAATTGATTTTTAAAAGGAATATAAAGAAAACCGCACCATTGATATATACATATCTANTTATAAAGTGAGTTACCAATTATTTATACTAGTACATTATAAAGTGAGTCCCTGATATACCATATCAGGTTTATATCTATGATCCTAGTAGATATAGAAATTAATACAATATATTGAAAGTTTTAAACAGCTCTACAAACTGCATATTTTTGTGTCATTTTAATAATGATCAGAATAAATCCTTACGAACATTTTTATATTTGTATATTCATCTGTATATATGTTAAAAACAACATGTTCCATCTCTACCAAAACTTTATGAAGAAGCAGCTTGTAATTAAGTCACACCAAGTCACCTGTTGTATCTACAATTTGTTCCTTGAAAGGAACACCAGTTAACTTCCTGTATGGACTTGGCATGAATTCATGGAAAGAGTCAAAATAGGGAAAGTAACGTCTTTGTATAGGGATAGGAAATACAAACACTTCACTTTTCATTCAGACTTGGAGTTGAAGAGACTGCTATTTATTTGCTCCCATAGCAACTATTCTTTGATTTTTGAATAATACATACATAATACAGATATTACAGATTTAGTTTGTTTCACACAAAAGATGATAAAATTTTAATTTATTTTAATTTTTTTAGTAATTTCATTAATTTTTGTTTTATAAATTTGTCTGCATTTTTTAAATTTTTTAAAATTTTACTTTTAAGCGAGTTAACATTAATTGAACTGTTAGGCTACCTAGTAATACAGTAGACCTCCCTATAAAACGGGTTCATATAATATAGATTTATATATAATGGTGAAAAAATTGCAATTGTATTCATATAAACACGCTAAAAGAGACTCGTATTTAAACGAGCAGTGGACCTACTAAAAACCATTTATTATTTAACGGCCATAAAAATTAGATTTATATTAATGATATCGCCAAAGTTCAGCAAATTTTTCGCAAAAAAATAATTTATCAGAAACACGTGTCCGCCATTCAATGCTCTGCTCCACAACGAAAACAAGCTTAATCAATGGTGTCATTGAATGGTGCAGACTCGGTAAGTAATCCTACAAGTTTTCGTTTATAGCATAATTTATATGGATTATTCCCAAAAAATTATATGTGTTTTGGAAATGTTGAGTCAAATAAATTAGTCTAGAATCGATTAATTTTATGGAAGAAAACCTTTCAAACAGCTGTAGTCCGTAAACTGCATACGTACTTGGCTGTGATTGGCTCGTGTATTTAAGGACTCATACAACATGAATTTCATAAAACATAGAACGTATCTACTGTGTTATAGGAGGTCTACTGTATATAAATCTTGTATAAGAACAAACATATGCCCAATAGAGCCTACAAGTAATAGATCAGTATGACATTCCATTGTGGCAGTCGAGACTGTCTTTTCAACCTGATTTTTCCGTCTTTAAAGGATTCAATAAACCTGAAGGATGGCCAATCTGGAGCTGAACCAGTAGTACTCTTTCAGGTCTGCCTTCACAGGTCTGCTTTGACTAATTTCATTAATTAGTCAAAGCAGAACTCTGACCAAATTGCTTTGTCTTCATTCAAAATGATATGCTTACTTGATAAAAAGACTAGGAAGATAAGCTTTTGTATCTGATTAAATGCGGTCCAGGCAAAAAAACGGTGGTTATGTCTGTAGAATTAACCCAAGAAGTTTTATCAATTTTTGAGGAAATATTTTTTTGAAAAATTGATTTTTAAAAGGAATATAAAGAAAACCGCACCATTGATATATACATATCTATTACTTATAAAAAGACTTTTGTTTTTATTTGCTACAGTTAAACACTTGTGTTTCTGTAAAAGAAGGAAATCACTGCAATTTTTAAAATCAAATATTCTGTCACAATTAGTGTTTTGAACTCAAGAATTTAATCTTGAGATTTAAAAGAAATTTTTGATTCCTAATACCAGAGAAAAATTCTTACTTGTTAGCAATCTTGAGAAATTTTTAGGAAAAATAAGTAGGTTTCTATTAAAATTTCTGTTGACTTATTTAAAGTTTTTTTAAATAGGAAACTAGAAATTAATTGTCTTGTGTTTTTTTTATATAAAATATAAAAGTTACTTTAATAAAAATTTTAATACATGTAAGAACAAATATAATAACTTTTTAAATATATAAAAAATTAAAGTAAAGGTAAATATGAGACAATCTTATATCTTCTAGTCCTACTTTGTATGGTTTCTTCTGCATCATTTTTTTTTCTAATTAGAGAGGTTGCGGCCGATGTTTTAATCGCGAAAACGTGTACGTCAGATGTTCAGCGCTGCCTTCCTGTAAGCCTAGAAGTTTGACAGTGGCATTTGATACGTCGAGCAAACTTCCTCTAATGTTCCAAACGTCATTGTCAAACTTCTAGGCTTACGGGAAAGCGGCACTGAACGTCCGACGTACACGTTTTCGTGATGAAAACGTCGGCCGCAACCTCTCTATTAATTCAAGTATTTTATAAATAATCACTTTTTTGAAATCTTGAGATAATTGAGAATTCAAAAAGTTCAGTAAAACAAATCCCTAGTCAAAATATACAACTCAAGGATTACAAATTTTATACTTATTTTTTGGTAATTGAACTATCACATTTCTATAAGAGCACAAAACTTTGCTGCTGTTACCTCATATGATGTCATGTGCAGAGCAAAGTTTGAAAAAAAAAAAAAAAATGACAATAGAATGAGATCAAATAATCAAGATCATTGGGGAAGTAGATTTATTTGAATAGTAGTAGCAGATTATGGAAAGAAAAGATATACGAATGCTTTCACTGTGAACATTTGCTAACCAATACTGGAGAATCTGACAGAACATTTTGAATTGAGATAACATCCTTCACGAACAGTTGCCAAAGTTTTCTTAACCCCAAAATTCTGTTACATATGATATGATCATGTCATGATCTCATGTGGCAGAGGTGGAAACCTGCGGCCCACTTTAATATTTTGTGTGCCACATTGGACAAAATATTAATAAATATATCAATTTTCCAACTTAATTAAGGAAGGATGTAGCAAAAATTCTATCATTCTACAACTTAATAAAAATTTTGTAAAAAGTAAAACAAGAAATTGGCTAACACTCATCAAAACTAATTTAAAACTAGCAGTGACTAATATTTAATTAAATATTTCAGCTATATTACATTCACATTAGTGACAGAAGTCAAATTATGCATACTTATGTTAATTTATAAACATATATGAAATAATTGCGATTTACCTTGCATTGCATTTTTTTCTTTTTCTCTTGTGTGCAGCATGTCAGTTCAAATTTTTAAATGTAGCACTTAGAAAAAGGTTGCTCACCCCTGACATATGGGGTGACAACCCATAGTTTTAGAAGTCCCAATTATACCATACTCTTTTCTGTGTATGATATACAGGGTGTTTATAATTAAAGTTCCACTTTGAAATGGCCATAAAATGAAAACTACTGGACAGAATGTTATCAAACTTGGTAATAGTGTACAGGACATCATGGGATTTTATTTCCCATAAAAAAAAATAGTTCAAAAACTCACCACCAACAGGAAATGGCGATGTCTGCAATATTGTTAAACAAAATAAGACATGAAGATGTCGTTGAAAATGTTTTTAATCGGTTTTAAAACATGTTGCAGAGCATGTCCAATGTGGCGTCCACCATTTTTGATAAGCAAGTTACATCGCATTACTGTGTTCTCGACAGTAGCTCTTGGCATATCACTTTCTTCCTGCTGTAAGCCATTGTGATTTTGCGTAACCCCACAAACAGTTTCATTTTAAAACTGATTAAAAACATTTTCAATGATGTCTTCATGTCTTATTTCGTTTAACAATATTGCAGACAGCACCATTTCCTGTTGGTGGGGAGTTTTGAACTTTTTTTCCACGGGAAATAAAATCCCACGATGTCCTGTACACTATTATCAAGTTTGATAACATTCTGTCCAGTAGTTTTCATTTTATGGCCATTTCAAAGTGGAACTTTAATTATAAACACCCTGTACATCAAGGCTTCTTAAACTATGGGTTTTCTATTTGGTTACATGAGTATGCTATAAGGTTTTTTATTAGTGTTGCAATGAATAGTATATTCGGCCTCAGGCTGAATACCAAATATTCGGCCAAACTATTTGGCTTGATTAACGCACATACGAAAATTGGCGTGCAAACCACATTATGGCAAGGACCCTGCTCTCTATTGGCCCACTGTCACTATGCTTCGCCAATCGCATTAATTCTTGACAGTTCAGACAAGAGCATCATGGCAGTATGTGATAAGTGATGATATCAAATGTGGATAACAATGAAATGACCTACACGCGTAAATAATGGAAAAAGAACAGAGAAGGACTGCGAAGTGAAAACATGAAAATAAATATGAAATTGAGTTGATAACATAATCGAACAAGTCGAAGCAGCTTATTGGTGTGAAATTTGCGGCTGTGAATGCCAAACAATTTTGTTGTCATAGACTTTGGAAAACTAAATGCTTGTAATGAAAGTCACTTAGCACGCATGGGCGAAAGCCTGGAGTCGTTTGGACTACCAAGCTGTTTCGAATCTGTGAAATCATAACTGTGACTTATACCAACGTCCTATCTGTCTCTTTTCTCTGTTATCACCAGGCTATGAGTCACATAATTGTAAAATGGGGAATCTACGATGGAAAAGTGACGAATCAAAAGTATCGTGAGGGTGTATTATGATGTATGCATAAGCATACGTGGACTAGAGCCATAGAGGAAAGAGAAAGGGAAGAGCAAAGACGAGCGCTTAAAAAGAAGGATAGGCAGTGTCAGACCCTCAGATGTGCGACGATTCTCAAACGAATAGGTGTGTATGTGTGCTGAACTTTGTAATTATAAATTGTGAATACAAGTGACTAATATTATGTTCTTTTTTATTTTGTGCATGTTATAAGTTATAAATAAATATAAACAAACAACACTAACCCGATAACATTAAATCTAAATACCAAAATGATTAATTTACTGTGTTTTTGTTATTTCTTACTCCTGTTTTTAGGTATTCGGTATTCGGCGAATAGTGATTAAATATTTAGTATTCGGCCAAATAGCAAAAAATAGGCCAAATAGTGAAAAACAGGCCGAATACCAAATATTCGTTACATCACTATTTTTTATACATGTATAATATATACCATACATACAAAAGCTATGTATAACAATAGTTCTTGAGTATATGGATACATATTTCATAGTCTGTAATTACATATGTAAGGAATTGATAAGCAAAATTTATTTAAATGAAATCAATGAAACATTTAGCCAAACAAACAATGAAAAATAAAATGTCGTTATTGTCTCTTTTAAAATAATATGATAAAAAATTTTCTGTGAATTCAGTAGAAAATGTAGATAAGTTAAATTTTGATATTAGGTTCTATAATATAAATTTCCCAATACTGTTATGTTTGATATCTTCTTGTAAGTATAAGTGAATTTTTAAATTTTTTCCAAAAAACAATAGAAAATTAAAAGTTAATAAACTTATGTAAGCAAATATTTTTAGCTAAAGATTTAAAATATGAAGAATAATTGTGAAATTTGTAATAATTTGAAACTGTAACAGAAGAATGAAGGTTATTTTGCAAAAACGAAAGTTATTCTAACAAATTTTAGATACATTTGCATATTTTAAGGATATTTTGAGATTTAGTTCTACATACATTTAACGGTTAATCCATATGCTAAATTAAAAAGAAAGCAATAAATGCAACTATTGTTATTCTTTTAAATTATAAATGAAATATAGATGATTGGTCATATTGAAATTAATGTAAATACAGTAGAATCGTTTTAAAAATTAAAAAACATCACAAAAAGACAAAAAACTGCTTTCATTTTCCTTTTCCGTCAGTTCAACACACCAGTGACAGGCCAAAACAATTTTCATATGCAGAGATGATTTTTTTACTTAATAAGTTGAGAAACTATCTCTTTTAAATGTAATCAATTATTCTTTGTCATGATAATATTATAGCGCAGTTAGTTATTAGGTTTTGTATTTGTGTTTGATATTAATACATATTTCCATTTATGTGCAAGATTTTAAGAAAATAACTGAAGATATTATGATTATAACACAGATTTCTTAAATAATTAACCTAAATTTATTTACCTTTTCACTAAGCTCTGGATCTTGTGTAGCTATTAAGTAATGATCAGGATTATTTTCTTTAACTGCACTGAATAAACAGTCTGAGGCAGATATTGGATTTTTCTCATGTCCACATTTTATTACTTGAAATTGTTTTACCACTAACATAGCACCATAAATAGCTGGACCTATAAAACAATTGTAAACATGAAGTAAAATCAAATATAAGTCATTCAAATCAGAACATTATTAAAACTAATGTAAATTATATATGAGAGTGAAAAATTAACATTTAATTTTGTTTTTTTAAACAGAAATTCAAGAATTATAAGACAAATCAAAATACATGTTACACACTAAAACTTTGGTGCCATCAATCTTTTCTTAGTGATTATTTGGCTGTCTTTAATAATGTCTCAGAGTTTAAAAAATTCTAAACCTAAAGAAATGAAAATAGATAACATGTTCCTTCAACCACAGGATTTTTGATAAATTTTTCATATCAGAGCATGTTGAATATAAAGTAAATGTTTGGATTACTTCATTGGTTCAACTTGTGGACAGGTGGATGCAAATGCCTTGTTGTGTTCAGGATATTCTTAAATACTGATATATTATTAAAAACAGATAAATAGTCCCTAAAATCAATACCAACAAAGTATTTGGTTCTTTTCATTTAACAGGACACAGTAGCCTATTGCATTTAACAATTTAGCCCATGCAACTGTGCCAACTATATAACATGAAGTAGGATACTTGAAGCTGTCAAGTATCCTACTTCATGTTATATAGTTTTAGGGAGGTGTTGGGGGTGAGCCCCCACCCAAGTGTTGAGGTGCGAGCAATAGCAAGCACAAAGGTGCAGGTCTATATGTAAAGCATGTAGAAAGGTGGTAGACTGATACTAGTTAAAAACTGACCTTTGGAGATGAATATCTGGCAAAGGGTCAACAATTCTGCGGTGGTGTGAAACCCCTCATTCAGAGCTTGAATCTTACTCAATGATGTACATATCAGTTGTCATCCTATTAACCGAAAAGTACCAAGCTTTTTAATATATTCCTGGTATTCAACATGTATTTTGACTTATAATTCTTGAAATTTTTAATTTCAAATAAATTTGAAAGAATTTTGCATGTTAAAATTTTAAAGAAAAGTCTTTTTATTTGGATACATTCTCATCACTTAAACAGTCTGTTGACTTTAATACTTATAATTTTTGAATTCAATACATGTGGCTTATAATCAAAGTTACAGAATCTTAAAATTTGTTTTTTTATTTTATTGAAACTTGATGATGGCTTATTAACTAAATTAGCCAAAAATGTTTGTTCTGGTGTAAAGTTTGTTCTTCATAAGGAAGATTTGTTTCATAGGTCATAGAACTTTTTCATGTAGAATGTAATTATTTCTGTATGAATATTCTATTGAATGTAATGAAAATATTCAAAATACATTAGATTCCAGTTCAAATTTCCATTTTGTATTAAAAATAACACATTTAATATGAATTGTAGCAAAATTAAAATGAAAACCAATAATTTAAATATGCAAAAAAGTATTAGAAAATAGATCAAAACACTTATCTATAAAGATAATGAAATTTATAAAATATTATTATGTACAGAAAATTTTTGAGAAATTGAAGTCAATATTTTATAATGTTTCTCATTATAAAAAAATTACAAAATATATGTAACATAAATAAAATAAAGAAGGGTAAAGTAAAGGAAAATTATATAAAAGACTAATGTACAGTACATTTAATTCCACGCACTTGTAATAACAAGCGTACATATATCAGAAAAACAAAATGGAAATTTGTTGTAAGATTAAAAAAATATATTGCAGTTTTAAAGTATAGATCTAATAGATTAATTCAGCAGTGCCATACCAATAGATGAGGCAGAGAAAAAACAGCTTCTGGTGCCAGGGATACTAGAAAAGCACTATAATGTTCATACATATGTAAGTACATTGGCATTGTTCTTTGGCTTGCCTCAAGCACCAAAATTATTTGAAACAATCCTCAAGTTCAGAATTCTGAGTTCTGTGTTGGAAATAATTATAATATAAATGTAAATGGAACACATATTTTATAGTGTAAATCAGATACAATTGTAGAAAATATCATAAACTCTTTGTAGATTGGAGTTTCTGTATATTACACATCTGAGAACTCTTCTTTAACTCCAATTAGTCTTGTTTGTAGAAAACAGACTAACATTTTCGATCCTTCTATTTCTTCGAATCCAGATTTTCTTATAAAAGTATAAATCCAAAACAAACTTAATTACAAGTTCCAAATGCATGTTCTTTTTATAAAATATCTAATGAAATTTCAAACTTAAAATTTATCCCAATGTGCAATATTTTTGTAGAGTATTGAAAACTTTCTTAAAATTTTTGATTAAACAACATAAATGAACATGTGATCAATAGTTTAAAAGTAACCACAATGAAATCAAGTCTTAATCAAAGTTTTTAAAAAATTTTTTCAATATTCTACAAAAAGAATGTGCATTGGGATAGTTTTTTAATTTGAAATTTTGTTAGATATTCCATAAAAAGAACATGCATTTGGAACTCATAGAAAGAGAGGGTAAAATAAGACTCTCTACCAGGGCCTAATTTAAGCCTTTGTGGGCCCTAGGCAAAATAATATTTACGGGTCCCTTTAGAAATTTTCTATTTACTACAAATATAAATAAAATTGTAATATTTAAAATTAAAGTATTTTTATTTTTACATTTGAATATCTTACTTACATTGTATTTTTGAGGCTTCAATAAAATTATGCAGCAATAAACATTATATTTTTCTCAACAAACACTGCTTTATTCTGAACTTCACCGAACAGATCTAATTTGCACATAGAAACATTATCTAACTCTCGGTGATAATGTTAGATGTCAGAGCAGTAGGTAATGTCATTCTTAATTATTAACCCTTGAATATGGCACTAATAATATAGTAATTCACAATACTAATAAAACAATGGCACATTTAGAACCTATTACGGGTCCCGGGCAAGTGCCTTGCCTGACTTGTGCCAAATTAGGCCCTGCTCTCTACAACCAATAACCAGTGCAAAGTTTGGCTAAACAATAAAAAACAAATGTTTTCATAACCCCTTCTGGGTTCTTCCTCAGGTTTTCTTAGTTCTAAATAAGCTGGATCTTCCAAATTCATTCGAGAATATAAAATTTAACAGTAAAATGAAAAGTTCAAATAATGGAATTTATGTGCATGAATTCCCTGTCATCTTTAAATAAGATTGAACACTAAATATCACTGTCAAGTAAAGTATTCAAAGATGACATAGGAAACATGCATATAAATTCCATTATTCAAACTTTTCATCTTACTGTTAGATTTTTTATTCAAATTTTATATTCTCGAATGAATTTAGAAGATCCAGCTTATTTAGAATTAAGAAAACCTGAAGAATAACCCAGAAACTGTTATGAAAACATTTGTTTTTTTATTGCTTAGCTGTACTTCACACCAGTTATTGGTTGTAGAGTGTCTTATTTTATCGTTATCCCAGTGTGGTGTGCAGATTTGTAGAGAGATAAGGATCAAAAACATTAGTCCATTTTCTACATACAGGATTTATTGGAGTTAAACAAGGAAAAAATTGGATTAAACTGGAAAAAGTTATTGTAAAAAGATTTAACAAAATTTAATAATGTAAACATGCAAATGTAATACTTATAAAAACATGACAGATATACAATACATACACTGTAACAACCAAATACAAGGTTAATGTCAGAAGGTTGGAATATTGCTACATGCATGGAATTGGAGAACTGGAAAGAAAGCAATAATAGAGATAGAATTAAGATATTTTGAGCAATGCATGTTCTAAACTTTTAATAAATTTAATTTGCATAAATGAATGTTGGTTTTGTACTTCCATCAAGATCTTTTTCACTTTCTACCATGAAGATTTTTTTCAGATCTAATACACATTTTAATCAATATTTTATTGGATATGTCAACTTGACATAAGGGGGGAGAAAAACAAAAATGAAGCAAAATTATAATTGTACTTGGTGTCATTTTATAATTTATATTCCATGCCAACTGAAGAAAAGCTATGATCAAAATGCATCTCGGCCAATGTAATGGAGTTGTTACAAAAAAAAAATGCTGTAAAGTCAAGTGCTTCTTAATACACTACATCAGGTTTACAAAAGAAAAAATTATATAGAAAACAAAGTTCCAGAAGTTAAATAATTAATGAGAATATATTAAAAACAAACATATGCTTTTATTCTTATTGAATTCTCACTAAAACTGTGTAAAATCAAGTATATACTTCTCTTCAATAATACACTGTACTTACAAATTTGTCTATACATTCACCAAATAAACAAAGTATTACAAAAATGGTGAGCTGGCTATACATAGTCATATTACACTTACTGAAATGAAACATGTTTATTTAAATATATCAGCTAAAATGTATTGTTTCAAAGGCAGTGGTGTGCAGTGACATTTGATAATAGTGAAGCTGTGTCAGTCCCGGATAGAATTATTGGAAGTGTTATACGATATTTTGTTGTGTAGCATCTACCAGCTAAACCATGTGAGGTTGGTGCTCTGTAAAGTGCATGTGCAAATGCCTGTAATCTGGCTGCTTTACACCATTTAAATATTTTCACCATGAAAGCTGTCCCATATTCGACAATAGTGCTTCCATTGGGAATACGCATATACGAATTTATATTGAATATACAATAGCAATCTTATCATTGTTTTTCACATATAGAAATTTGTAATAAAATACATAATGCAGTTATAATAAAATATGAAAATAATAGCACAATATGTATTTATATTTTAGAAAATACAAGGGAAGCGGTGCTTTCACAGCTTCCATGGACGGCACGCCACTGTTCAAAGATATACTCACTTTTATGTGTTAGCAGTAATTAAGATAGGCAATACACAACTATATGTATTATATGATGCTGATCATGTTAATATGGCTGTGTTCTGTGGATTGTCTGTGCATTATTTCTTCAACTATAAAAGAGGAATCTTCCAAGAATTACTGTATCTTGGAAGATGGAATGGCTTTGCAGAACCTATATCTTGACCTGCACAGTCTCTGAATCTCAATTCCTTCTGCTTCTACTTATGGAACATCTAAGAGCTTTAGTATATTCTCTTCTAATTAACAATATTGCAGATTTTTCCCAGAGTAAAAATTATAAATCAGTAAATTTGGAATACACCAGGAATTTTTAAATGGATAAGGCAGTCCTTTGTACGACAGGCTCAGCAACATATTGTTATACAGGAGGACATTTAAATTAACTTTGAAAAAGATACCACATCAGTAATTATCTTAATTAATTCAGCTTCACTGCTGTCAGTTTTTATTATACTATTTGAACTGATTAAAGAAAATAATTTGAACTGAATACAAATATTTTCTTGTTTGAAGCAAAACTAGAAAGAGATGCCCCGTGTATAAAGGATGGACTTTTACCCTTTTTTCATTTCATGGAGTGCATGGAGTAGGCCTATAGTATGATTGCTTATAATTTTTGTATCTGTCCATAAATTAACTTGTATAAGCAAAATAGTATATTTCTTACTTAATTTCAAATTATTAAAAACATTTGATGACATTTATGTGAAGATCTGTATATGTTGATCGTTAACTTACCTAACTTTTCTGTTTCATTAACAACACACACAGTAGTTAACAATTTTACATCACTATTCAAATACTTTGGCATCTGTTCTTTTAGATTTACTTTATATTTTAAAGCCGCTTGACAAAATGTACCATCGATTAACACTTGATAAGGAGATCGAAAACCAAAATTGTTCGTATAAAATCCCATATACCGCTGAACTCGCTTGTATCTTCTGATTTTCATTTTTCAATTTTAAAACCACGTGTATACAAACAGTCAAACCATAGAAGCAGCCATCTTGAATCGAGTTTATTTATTTATTTTAAAAACAAAATGATATTTAAAATATTAATAAATTTATTTATTTTATTAATATACTAAATAATTTCAATTTATAAACTACGCATTTTTCTAAAATTATAAATAAATAAAAATATATTTTTGTAGTAATTACAAAATCTCCACTAGATGGCGAGTGCTTCAACTAAATTCTCGAGTTTGTACTTTTTTCGTTTTTTTCCCTCAATTAATACGATGTCGCCCTCTACCGTTCTATATATAAAACAATAAAATATTTTACAGTTATACTTTATTTTTTTGGCACTTATTTAAAAAATGTTATTGCATTTTAACATACTGTAATTATAAAAATTTCATTAAAATAAATTTAAATTGATATTTCAATTCTTATTTTTTTTTATGAATTAAGAACATTAAAGTTTGGTTTTATTCGTATTCAGTAATGAAACACATGGGCGATCTGTAGAGAAGTTCTTTTATTATGCCCTTATTTAAGTGTTAATAACCTTTTTCTAGATTTATCGTAGGTGAGGTCAGACCTTTAATGGGGAAGGCAGAGTGGTGGGGAACAGAACACCTTAAAAAATTCCTGTAGTAACTCTTCAGGACTCGAATCCGAGTCCCCAAAGCGATAGGCTGAATGTTAACAGCCTCGGCCATCCGGCCATGGGCTTCATGCTCAAGTACTGACTATCCTCGATTTTCGGACGTTCCATTTTCGTGCATAATACTTTCATACCTCGAAATCACATTTTGTACGCCAAATTCGAACTTGCATACATTTTCAGCTACAAAATAAAATTTTCCAGCTATCGTGCAGTGATACCTTCTATTACTTTTGGTTTCTCTAAGAACAAAATCACTTATTAAAAAAATTCAGCAACAAGTTGCCTAACTTTCCCGGCAAAAGTTTCATTAAGTCCAACCCCACTTCGAGATATGACACGAAATCTTCTTCTATCTCCTCATTCCTCAATCTTTAACCACCAAAGTTTAATAGCATCAATCCCCTAATACACATATCTCCCTGCAAAATATCATAAAAACATAGGAGTGGGTAACAAAATCATGCCCTCCACACACAGGAATAAACCCGAATTTTTTTCATCTCTCGACATTTCAAGATCCCGAGTCCAAAATTATTTTAAAAAAAAACTTTGAAAAGGGTCATTTTTTTCGATCAATTGCCATACTTTCTTTCTGTTATGTATAACAACCGGGAAAGTAAAATTAATTTTTATTGGTTGTTTATTGTATAATTTACGGTTACAACGTTTTAAATAATGTCTTATACATTGTAACATATTCACTTTAAAGGAAACTTCCATAAATTACATAACCCTATAAAAACACACTTTTAGTTTACTTCTGCACAATATCATCCCAATCCCACTCATTTAAATTAACAAGCATTTGGTGTCTATTAAAAAAATTAATAATTCTATATCTTATTATAATGCATATTTTAAAAGTAAAATCGATCAAGTTTTAAATACAATATATTATAATAAAATATAAAATAATTCACGTGGTTTTTGACTGTTGAGATAAGGCAACTCAACACCCGGGCGTGTCTTCCGGGAGGACTTCTTGTAGGAAGTTGGTCCCTGTTTAGGTGTTAGACACGTGAAGAAAACCAGGTAAACTCCACGTGACCAGTTCGTTGATTAGGCGCGAACCCACTACCAACGCATTCCACTCGGTCATTAGTGGGCCGCTTACTTTTTATATTTACAAAAGTTTAACGATGCTTAACTACACGAATATTAAACATTCTAAATTTGATATAATTGCTTTTTAAATTAATTATATAAATTTCTGTATAATTTTAGAAGATTCGTGGAACAATTGATAAATATAAATGATATAAAAAAATACAATATTTATAAGACTGAAAAATTATGGGAATATGACTTCACTGAATCTTATGTTTTGTGATTTATGTTATTTAGTTTAATGCTTTGAGAAAAGTATTAAAAAAACATATTTCTTTTCTCGTATATGAAATAAATATAAATTTATATCTGTTTGAATTTATAGAAATATCTTTCAGCTATATTCTGGTATATATAAATGATTTTTTAATGATATAATTAAAACATTTTGTGAATTTCAAATTCGTAAATTAACGCCAGCATGGCAATAAGAATTCTTTTAAAAATCTTCAAATAGACAGAAAATGAGAAGGAAATAGGTAATTATTGCACACATTTTTCTACTATAAAGTCTGAAGTTTTATGTGTTTTCGCCTCTTAAATTTCTGTCGTAGCCATTACACCAAGGTGCAAATTGAAATACAAATACTAATGGCACAATGCATATCTCGTAAGATACATAAGTTTATAATAAAAACGATTGATAGCCTGTTATTAATTTTGCAATACGTTATTATGCTGCACGAAGAAAATTTATTGCAAATCGATAACATTTATTAAGATTTTGATATCTTTTTTCTTTATTTTTTGACTATTTTGTCTTATGGGCACCAAGAGGATCTTTTTTCCATGCCCATCATGGGTTTGGTCAGGCCCAAAATGGGGAGATCGGATGGACCCAGTGTAACTTAGAGTATAGATTAAGTCGGAGTTTGTCTAGGTCCTAGACAAACTATTCATAAAAATTCTTGGTGTCACTTGCCCGGATTCGTTCCCATGTTCCTAGAGTAGTAAGATGACCGCCTCAGATGTCTTCTGGTTGTCAATCTAGTTACTTGTTATTCTTGCATTAGCATGACTAATAATAAATCAATCTTTTAATTGACGTGTCAGTATGTTCCAACAAACATTAACTTCAAAAAAATGTATTTATCTAGCAAAATTATATTATTGCATATTAAAATTTTCTGAAATACCATTCCAATGAAAGTATTTTTTTAGTAGAATAGCTTTAAATTGCATCAATGTTAAACGCTATTTCATTATGGAATGTATTTTAATATAGTTTTATGTCTTTTGTATGATTATTTCAAATAGATGAGGAGGCATTTGATACAGTTCTTCGATTACAATGAAGCAATTTTCAGAACAGTGTACATGAAAGTTTCTGCGCTAAAGTTTCGATCGAACGTAAATTTTGGGAGAAAGCCAATAAAGACATAAATAGTAAAAAGTAAACTATATCAGATACGTTCGATACTGTCGAATTGATAATAGGAAATATCCACGAATCATAATCTTACATTAAATTTCGTTGTTACTAAGATTTAAAACCCTGTTTAATTCCCTAATTTTATGTTTCATAAAACAGCATTATTGTATCTATGGATAAAATCTGATACTGGACCATAACATAGTTTTCTCTGTAATCAATAATCATTTCGTTCATTGCAATGGTAAAAACCTTCGATTCAATTATTATATCATTAAGAAATCCACATATTCCAGTAAAACTATTTTATTAAGTTTTGGAAATATATGTATAATATTTATTATATAATCGTTTAAGTGATATTAAAAAGCATTGTTATAATGTTTTTTTGCATAATTCACTTTGCATAAAAATAAATATATTGGCTATTTTCATTACTGCAGAAATTGCATTAAAATTGTACTATTTTTTTTTTATAAACAGGCATCTTTATACTGTAGATTACTTCTACTTTTGTGTGAAAAATTGATTATATTACTTTTATTTCTTTTAATATTTCTGGAAATCATAGAGTGAGAGTCTAAGTGACAAGCAGTTAAGTAAAACAAACCAATGACATGGTCTGTTACATAGGAAACAGACTATGTCATTGGCTTGCTTGCTTAATTTCTTGTCACGTAAACGCACCCACGATCTTTATTTTTCTTTAATGACAATAGAACGACAGTTTTTTAAGCATTTAATATAACTGCACGAATGGACTTCTACGGAAAAATAATGATATTACAACGATAACAATTTTTTTGCATATCATATAAGGTTCCTGGAAATATTTTCCTTGATATTTCTGGTCTTTTAAAAGATATGTGCCAATTATAAATTAAAATAGACACGCATATACAGAAACACATATAAACAGGACCATCGAGAAGAGGGGATTTTGAGAATTTTCTCTGGGTCTTGAAGAAAATTAAGGGCCAGTAATAGTACCTATCCGCGTGAATTAGTGTTATTTTTACTAAAAATATATATATATAAACATTAAAACTGCTTTTTATTAATAATGCTCTACCCTCGAGTCTATATATTTACATACAAGTGCGTGTATATTTTGAATTAAAGTAATATTTTCCTATATGCTGTATTATAGAAGAAATAACGTAACTTGTACAAGAATGCAAGTTCATTTTTAAAATATATTCGTATGAAATAAAATAATTACATCGATAAAACACGATAAAATTCATAATTTCTTTAAAATAAATAAAATAAAATTGCTTTAAAAATTATTAATTAAAAATTAAACTTGAAAAAAGTAAAAATAAAAGTTAATTTAAATATATCAGAAAATCAATAAATACATTTAAATAATTCAAAATTATTTTTATTTATTTATTATTATTCGTTATTACTTTTCTACAACTAGTTATGAAA